AAACCATTTCAGGTGACTACCTCTTGAAGCTCATGGAGAGAATGCCAAGAGTGTGCAAAGCAGTAATCAGAGCAAAGGGTGGCTATTTTGAAGAAACTAGAATATAAAACATGTTTTCAGTTATTTCACCTTTTTTTGTTAAGTACATAACTCCACATGTGTTCATTCATAGTTTTGATGCCTTCAGTGAGAATCTACAATGTAAATAGTCATGAAAATAAAGAAAACGCATTGAATGAGAAGGTGTGTCCAAACTTTTGGCCTGTACTGTACCTACCCATAGAAACGAATATTCAAATATCCGAATATTTGGGTACAGCCCTATTATCGGCTTAGTATATACCGTGCATCCCTACTGTTCACGTTTGAGATTAAAAGGAAAAAAATCTGTGAAGTTTCTCCTTATGAACTTGATGCAAACTGATTTGAGTTGGCATTTTAAAACTCCTGTAGTCTGAGTGCGGCTTTATTCTACACTATCATGTTCCGTCATGTTGTATTATGTCACGTTATGTTGCATGCTACTCTGTTATATTCTGTTTATAACATGATAGATAGTATAGAATACAACAGAGCACAGTAGAATAGGATAGAAGAGATAATAAAATATTCCTAAACATAACAGAAAAGAATAACAGGATTCGACAGAACTCTATTCTGTTACGTTCTGTTGTCTTATAATAATTATTCTATTCAATTCGATGCTTCCAGGCCTGTGTTATTCACTCTTATAGTCCCAATAGAATCCACTACAGTAATATCACAGACGTGTGTGTTTACTATTTCAATAAGAATCGTAGCAACAAGCATTTAAATAAAAAAAAGAAACCCTGACATTTTACTTGGACTTCTTGTGCAGTCTTGCCTCACAGCCACGTCTGTCCCACTTTCCCAGGCTGTTGTTCCTCTGTGGCTGTTTAGAAACATGTGGTGCCTCTGTTGACATCGCCACCCATAAACCCACACAGGCGTGCACAAACACACACCCACACACCGTTTTTTTTTTCCTCGTGGTTTGATGGTTCAGGCTGCATTTTTTAACATGCGGTGCCCACAGCAGTAGACCAGAGTTCACCGGCAGTAATGTTGATGTGCCAGCTGCCCAGGGCACAGTTGGAGTGGCATGGACACACATGCACACACACATCCCACGTATGCACATCCAATTAATATCACCTAATTAGCATAGTACCACGGTGATGACGGAGCAATTTGTAATGTCAAGCATAGATTGTTCAGTGCCGTCTCTGCCACAAGGGAGGAAATCACAGGTCCCTCTTTATACACAAAACTAACAGCAGGGTCGGACTGGAGGAGCAAGATGGTTTAACCAGCGCAGTGTGGTGCAGTACAGTGTGTGTTTGCAGTACAGTGTGTGTTTGTGGTAAAATCTCTCAATTAATAAGTAGCAGTAAGTAGATGATGTCAGGCCAAACATGACTTTGCGCCAATTCATATTTTTAGAATGTAGCTGTGTTTAGAGAAGTGAAGGGAATCATTACGTTACTGTCTCTTTTCTGTATTATTCAGTATATTTATAACTCTGGCTGGACCGACTCCATTATTGTATTAATGTATTTAGAAGAAGACAGAGCTTTGTAAACAGTTTTCTGTGGCTGTAAATGCAGCTGAGTCTGCAGCTTAACCTCTAGCTATTTGTCCAAATTGCTGTCAGACAGAACAATGCACCACTTGTCCAGCCGGAGCCATCACAAGCATTACAGTTGCATTTACTCATTAGGTAACTGCTGAAAATATTGGAGACAGAGTTTGCAGTTTGCTCCGTTAGTTTGCAGTTACTGCTGCTGTGACTGGTGTAAACTGCCAAAACTTTCACAATATGTTGCCTCATAGTCACATTTTTTTCTTCTAATTAAAATCATTTTTATTAATAATAGTAGAGGTGAAGGGGCTAGGGTTGGGCAAGTGTAAAAAATTGTAAAAAGAAAAAAAAAGTGATTTGATATTAAAGACATACAATGCAGGATTTTCCTTAAAAAGAAAAGTACATTCATAAGGAAGTAATCCCTCTAAATTGGAGGTAGGTGACATGTGGTTCTTAACCCTCTCCAGTGGTTCCCTGTGGCTTTGACCAAAAATTAGGCTACACAGAAATGAATTACGGTTATCTCTGAACATTTTAATTTTCATTTATCTTTATTGTAGGCTAGGGTTGTGCCATATCATCTCGTTCACGATAATACTGGGGACTGACATGCACCAAAGGGCCGCGAGCCGGATTCAGC